CACCATTCATTTTTATTCTCATAAAAATTCTTCTTTTTGTGTGCTCATCTCTAAATAATTCTCTTTTTCTTAATCATATATAGAAATATAAATATAAATAAATATATAAATAAATATATAAATAAATGTATAAATTATATGTATAATTATATATATATATAATAGATAGATAAAAAAATTAAAAAAGTGTTGTATCAGCATGCATATATATATATATATATATATTATATAAATATATGTAGAGTTTTTTATAGCTTTTTTTATACAACAGAAAAAAATATATTGCAATATGATCTAATTTTTTTCCTTTCATATATAATACATATAATATCTTTTTAAAAAAAAGAACTATTCTATTTTTAAAAAATTATGTATTCATTTAATAGTTATTTTGGAAACCCTAAATATTAAAAAAAATTACTTTGCTTTTTATTATAAATATATATATATATATATATATACGATATATTTTTATAATTCCAAGTTCCTTTTTTTTTCAATTTTTTCATTTTTTTTTTGAACACACCCCAAAAGGCAAAATTAAAAATTTGCCACAATAAAAAACAAGGTCAAAAAAAAGAAAAAAATTATATATGTTTTTTTTAATTATGTATAATAATATTTACTTTTTTCATATATATTATAAAATCAAATATATAATATATATATATATATATATAATAAATATTATATATAAAGTACTTTTATTTTTTTTTTTTTCTTTCTTTTTATATATATATATATTATATTATATTTATTTATTATTGTATACAACCAAAATATATTTTGACTATAATTAATTAAAACCTATGTAAAATATATTATATATTTATCTGACCATATATAGAAAGTTTAACGTTTTTTTATATATTTTTATTATTATTATGCAATATAAATATATAATTATTATTTAACTATTTTATATATTAAAATAATAAGATATATATACATAATAATGTATATATATCTTTTCATTTTTGTTTTTTTATTATAACCGAAAAATATTTTTTTTTTAACCATGCGCTTATTTTTTTTTTTTTTTAGCTTTAAAAATAAATTATTCAAACATAATTATTTATATATATAATAATAGTAAATATATATATATATATATATATATATATATATATATATATATAAAATATTGATAAAATCCTACAACCTATTTTTTTTTTTTTTTGTTCTATCCATGAGATAAGAAAAAAAATAATAATTCAGGAATTATAAGCACATATATATATATATATATATATATATATTGCTCATACATTTTTGTATTAAATCAAAAGAATGATTATATACTTTTAAAAACGTTTATATTATTAATTAAAAAGCACACTACTTTTTATATTATAAAACATAATCTCTTTTCTTTTTTTCTTTTTTTTCCACTGAATAATATTATTAAGATTGTATATATTATGATAAAAAAAAAAAAATATATATATATACAACAAACAAATGTATATTTAAAAAAAAAATATGTACATATATATATATATATATATATATATTATATTTACGTGTGTGTAATAATACCCTTTTTGAAATAACAAAAAAATAAATAAATGCACAAATAAACAAATTTTTACACATATAAATGTAATATATATATATATTTATTTATATTTATTTATAAGGGACGGACCGTTCGTTGTACACTTGAACACTTTTATCGATAACATTTAAAATATAGTTTTTCAAATATTTGTCAAATAATATATAAAATATTATTAATATTGCATAATATAATATTGTAACTCCTAAGGAAAAACATATAATACATCCATTAAAAAAAAAACGGTACCAATGAAATAATAATAATTATTATTTTACGTACTACTCCTTTTATATACTCCATGTTTTTTTTTATTTTCCAAATATTTATTTCTTATATTTATAAAAAAATTTATCATTCAATTTATATTTGTAATTTTTGTTGTATGATTTATATCTATATACATCATATCATCATTTTTATCATCTGATAAATATGATAACATATTTAATTTCTTGAATCCTTTTTCTATCATTCGATCTTTCTTTATTTTTTTGATACAATTAATTGTCTCTTTTTCTCATATATTTATTTATTATTATATCCTTTTGTAATTTTTTTCTTTATGTTTAAAACATTATTATCAATATCATCATCATCATGACGACCTTCCTTTATTAATACTACTACTACCAACAATGTCTATACATAAATAGACATCATTTTTTTTTTTATTATTTCCTCATTAAATGTGCCTTTTGTTCTCTCATATATATTTCTATATATGTTTATCAGTTTGTATAGGTTTTATTATGTATGATTTTTCATATGGATGTAAATATAATAGTTTGAGAGGGTTGGTTTTGTTGGTTATGACTTTTTAATAATTCAAATATCATTTTTTTTTTTTTACTACTCTTTATAATTAAGCCATATATATATATATATATAAAATATGTATAATATAACACATATAATAGATATAATAAATTTTGTTCATGTTTTATAATTCTACATATTTATTTATTTATAAAACTATTAATAAACATATTTTTTTTATAATATTTATAAAAAAATACATATTGCTTGACGAAAAAATAAAATATAAATATAAAATATAAATAATATGTATTATAATTTAAATAAATTTTAAATAATATCGAATATATATATATATATATATATATATATATATATATATATATATAATATGTCGATTTCTTTATTTCTTTCTTTATTTATTTATTTATTTATTTCTTTATTTATTTATTTCTTTTTTTATTTATTTATTTCTTTTTTTTTTTCTTTTTTTTTTCTTTTTTTTTTTGATATAGGAAATGCAGCAGTTCATGCTCATATCCCTTAAAAAGAATACTTATATTTTTATAATTTTTTATAAAAATAAATAATAGAAACATATTCACGTAAATTATACAGTATACATATATATAATATATATAGCGCCATTTTATGACTCATAAAAAAAAAAATATATGCCAATATATAATAACAATGGAAAAAAATAAATTAATAATAAATAATAAAAATAATAAATTTGTTATGAAAAATATTTTATTAATTTCATAT